GAGCTCTCCCGGTTGTATGGGGGCTTGTAGCTAGCTGTAGCTAGCTGTGTAGTTAGCAGTAGCTAGCTGTGGCTAGCTGTATAGTTAACAGTAGCTAGCTGTATCTATCTGTGGCTAGTTGTCGCTAGCAAGCGAGACAGCTCTTAAAAGCTCAAGTAAACAGAGTTTCCGGCCCCAGACGCCTGCAAAGCGGCAATAGCTAGCTAGCTACACAGCTAGCTAGCTAGCTACACAGCTAGCTAGCTAGCTACACAGCTAGCTAGCTAGCTAGCTAGCTGCTCAGGTAGCGTCAGTGGTGGCCAGGGCGTATGCCAAGGTGCAGCTCAAACACCTCGAGGCCTCCGCTCGCCCCCCCACAGCAAAGCCGCACAGAAAACCCTTGGGGGCCCCCGGGGGCCCCTCTAGGGGTCCCGGGGGCCCCTCCTGGGGCCCCGGGGGGCCCCCAAGGGTTTTCTGGGGCCCCTACTGAGGCCACTCCCCTCGATAGGGGTATAGCAGCTAAAGTTGCTGCTTCTGCAACTCCTGTTTTAACGGCTGCGAGTCGCTGCAGCATGAAGGTCTCTGTCTCTCGGTGTCCCTCTTGCTGCTGTTGCTGCTGCTGCTGCTGCTGCTGGTGCTGCAGTGAGGGCCCACACGAGCGCCAGAGAACGGCCAGTTGCTCATTGAGACGGAGCGCGTTCTGCTGCGGTGCAGCTGGGGCATCTGCTTCTGCAGCAGCAGCAGCAGCAGCAGCAGCAGCAACAGGGGTCACGAAGCAGCCTACAGGTGGCCTGCAGCAGCAGCCCAGCATCGCTCCGCTGCGGGTAGCCTTACACAGCATACATTCGCTTACTGCACCGCTGCTGCTTCTGCTGCCACAGCTGCTGCTACTACTGCTGCTACTGCTGCTACTGCTGCTGCTACCGCTGCTGCTGCTGCTGCTGCTGCTGCATATTTTCCATGCCTGTATCCACCTATCCCATCCAACAGAGAAGAGAAGAGGCCAGCAGAGAGCGAGGGACCTAATAGAAGAGCTGTGTGCATTCGGGTGCAGCACGCGACGAACAAGTTGCATGCGCCATGTGCTGTTGCTGCCATCTGCTGCTGCTGCTGCTGCTGCTCCTGTTGCTGCTGCTGCTGCTGGTGTTGCTGCTGCTGCTGGGGTTGAGAGCAGAGACAACACCTGCAACGCT